AGTTATAACAATAGCTTTTGATCAGCGAAGACTGTAAATAGTAATTTCTTTCCTCGTAAGAGGCGGCAGTCGTTGATGAAATTAGTTAGATGATACCGAAGGCGAAGAGATTCCGTTTGTATGTTCGCTCTTGACGACAGGACGTAGGGTGATTGTTTGATTTCATAACTTAACACATGTGTTAAGCTAACTAGTGGCTAGATCTGTGGTCGACGAACTTAGACAAATGCAAGCCAAAACTCTGACTTGAATTTAAAGGAACTTGTGCGATGACCACGTTGCAGGACATTGGCTAAACGATAAGATACTGAATACATAGACTGTGGTACCAGAACTGTTAGAGCAGCTGACGCCGCTCTATCTACCTGTAAACGTCACAATAGCTTTGAAGCTGAATAAAAAAAAATGGATTGATTCTATAGTGCTTTACGGGACTTCGTGCATCGTATCTTAGGCAATTGCCAATTACCCAAATAGAATGATGTCGCAAATTTGGACGCGTTTCGGCCAAATTTTACTATTTCTTTTAACTATTACTGCTGCTACAAGTTTGTGTAAATTGAAACATTGACACACACTTAGCCTCTGCTGCTTGTTACTTTGTATCATCCCTTCCACCACTGCTGATACAAGGCCAATTGCAAGAGCCGTGATAAAATATAAGCTAATTATAAGCTCTAATGCGGCCCATTTTTCGATTAATGCACACACAAATAAATTGATTGCTGGTCTTCTGAAGAGTAACTATTTCAATTTGCAATTAAACAAGAGAGAAGAAAACCGTCGATCTAAGGTTGTCCGAAGAGAACAAGATTAAACAAAACAGCTGATAGTAACAATACTGCTGTACACGGACGGACTATGCAGAGGCATGTTTGTTCTTAATAGTAAATTTAATTGGCTTGCTTTATTGTTACTTAAGCTTTTACCGCATGATATATATATATATATATATATATATATATATATATATATATCATTATACCTGCCAAATTTATGGTTTTGCCCATATCGGCCATCTAATTACACAACTATAGATTTAGCGCGCGAGTAGATCATCAAGGAAATCATTACCAACAGTACGGTCCCGATAAGATAACATAGCCTAGATATTAACACCCGTAGATAGTAAAATTCGTTGATTTTCGATCGTTGAAGTGATGATGGTCCTATTTTCCGCTTTGTGAAATGGCGCTTAAACATAGATTCTGATTTGATATAGGCTCACTTGAGTCGCTGTGGCTTTCGAAAGGTTCACAAGCGCATCGTGCGTAGTCCATCTATTAAGTAACAATAATTAATATCTCTATTAAGAGGATCTATTAACAGGCAACATCAATCGATAAATAGCAGTCAACAACATCTAACAGCTACAAGAAGCGAAAAAAAACTTCAGCTGATAACATGGACCCGTCTGGGTTTAGAGTTATTGTTAGCTAAATAGAATAAAAACAACACCAGTCACTGCTGTTTTGTGACTGGTTGTGAGCAAAGATCGCAAATTGGCTATTTGAATGGGACGTTACTTTAAGACTCGAACCTAACTATGTTGTAAGTTGTGGCAGAGAAAAGGAAAAAAAGCGCATGTTATAAGTGAAGCAAATCTCGCTGATTAGATGATAAATCAATTAATTGTCTTTACCACTGAATATAATTATAAAAGAACAACATTAACTATATTCATTATCGATAGAACATGCAGGAATGAATGTAGACCATGTTTCACATATGAATCTCAACAAAGGTGGCAATAATTGTTTACTATTATATTAATTAGATAGCTTCTTGTTAAAATATCGTCATCGGTTTCGCCGGGCCCTCCTCGCCTGCCATAAGATCAGTAATGGTAACTACAAAAATTACATTAAGCACATGTGTATATACATTCTACTATAATGCAGATCACATAAACGTAATTACCTGCCGGCTCCAATGTGCACGATATGTCCAACGGCTATATACGGCCTATCGGCGTACGTATTCTCGCGAATTCATGAGGCGAACGTACTTACATCAGGCGGGAAATGGCTCATAGCGCGTAAAGACAGGCAAACCTCTTCTTGACAGGGTCATTGCGACTTCGGTTGTTGTTGTCCTAGGTGTAATTGCTATTTGGTTCGACCTTGCAAAGCGCCGTGACAGCTATGACGACGAAAAGATGATCGCTTTATAGCGGACGATGATGAGACGGTTGGCTAGGCAATGGTGTGGGCGGGGGTGTGCCTTCGACCTTTTCGGCACCCTCCTATTCTCCACCAAGCTTTGCCTCCGACAGCATGGAATATCACCGCAATAACAATAGATGCGCTCATAAAGCACCAAAATCGAGATACGTAAATACCAAATACAAACACCGCTGAATGTACATAGGCAAATACTGCCGAACGGACATACGGTTCGCGTCCGCCTGTGTGTTGGCTGTTGGCCTGTAGGCCGTCTAATGGCAAAAGATAACAGGAGCAAATGATAGCGTACGTTCTAGTGGAGCCACGATATTACGAAACAGTCACAGCGTACAAAAACTCATTCAATTGTGGGTGAAAGCGACTATCGTATAGGTGGGCGATCAGGCCCGCTTACTTGCTCAAGCGAAGGCTATTGCTATCGTATAATTCTGCCGTATTCTCAGTCATATCGCCAGCTTGTTTGCGTTCGTACGCCTCTCTATGTGTCATTATCTGTTTGTACGATGAAATCCGTATGTATCAATAAGTCCTACATCGTCTCCGTTGGTTGCGATGTTAATCAACAGTATCTGTGTCTATTACAAATAGAACAAAGTACGCATACGTTTTTTAGCGTTGTAGTGCCGTTATTTATGATCAAACACGAAACAAGGGACGATAAGCAAAGAAAAATCTCATACATGATCATTGTATAAAGATAATATGTACGCTTCGTGTACTAGTAAATTGTATGGGTCTATTGTATGACGTAATAAGAAAACTATAGATTCTCTGTTTTGCAACTCAGTTTTGACTGGACATATTCCTAATGGCTCTATAGAGAGCTGTCCTTTTAATTATCGTTTAGTCATTTTCTTGCTAGTCGGTATGGCACTTCGAAATTGATGACCCCATTTCACAACTCCAATAACCCATTAGAGCTAACAGACAAATTCTGTATCTAATATTTAGCTCGTACCATGTTCGTGTGTTGCCAAATCTGAGCGCAAATCTCAAGGATCATTTGTACGACTACCAATTAACTCTATGACGTTCTCCCTTTTACATCGTCATTAGGTATTGAAAAGGCGTTGTTAATGGCTGACAGATATTTATGGCTTGATGTCTAGCTACATAGACCTAACATCAATAATAAAACATATAGTAAACGGAGGAAAATTTTAGCGGTTTATATATATATTTCATTGTTGTACTAACTTGAATTTACATTACGTAATTTTCGTTCTGGACTTTTAATTTACGAAAAGAATATAGCTGAACAGTGGCTTTAACCGTTAGCTTTTAACATACATGATCCAATGCCCCTGTCTATAGCGCCTACGCGATTTGTGCGAACGCTGCTGTCTGAGTCATCGAATACTGGTACGGTACAAATATGTGGCGTTATTCCTACTACCGCTACTGCTATGGCATGATCTCTGTACGTGACACTTCTTCTTGAGGCAGCGGACGGACGCTGAAATTGGGCCTACCTTCGATTTTCATATCTAACGCGTCCTGTTCTTGTTCCCGCCGTGTTACTGCTAGCTTTGCCTTTATGACGGGATTGGTCAATTACGAATTGCATGCATTATAAATACGTTTTCCTGCCTAATAACGATATGAATGTCTAGCGCATTACTGATTCGATTCATCTCCGGCGGAAAACAAACTGGCCGCTATAAAACTATCACTGTCGGTGCTAGAATCGCCAAGTGACCGCTACGAGTAGGGCTCTTTATTGTGCTGTCACGGCCAAATGACAGCGTGCCCTATCCGGCACGTCGACGTGGATGAGCCATACAAAATAGAAGCGTAGCTGTTCTAGGCCCGATGCTTCTGCTGTTACTGCAACTTGTTAAGCACGCGATACCTACGGGCCAGAGTGATCGTCTTTTCCAGCTAATGGGAGCGGCTCCTGCCCCTGTTATTTGTGTCGAGAATTAGCCACTGAACAATTACCCGTATTATATATATGTACAGTACTAATGGTGGCGTAGTAGCAGTCCAGTTCTGACTGCGGACGATAATTTTTGGCCGGCACTACGTATCTCACACACCTTTGTCGAGACTCAATAGCAGCTCCGGTTAACTGCAGCTATAGCAGTGTGTACCTGCAATCATCTGCCCACCTACGTGGTATGTTTGACAAGCTGAGCACCTTACAGGCACAAAAACCTGTTATTCTTTACCTCAACAGCGAGCGAGGGTTTTCCGGGAGCACAAAAATATGCCTATGTATGGTTAACTTCTAAGATTAACTTATGTGTTATGCCTAGGTACCAGAGAAAGGTACCGCTGATATCACGATTCAATGCGATACGCATATGCCCACATGCGTAAAAGTGTGGCCCTTTGTCAATTAGCGGTATTCCTTAATGTGTTAATTGAGTAGTTTTGACTCGGCCTGTGGCTGTGTGTGTGTTCTCATATCTTAAACATGGAGCGCTGCGTATAGCTGCAGGCGCACGGCAAATTGCTACTGTTGCTCGTGTTACTCGCCTCTGCGTCCTGCAGCAAAATATTTGCCCCTTGAAAATCACGTCTTTACACACTGTCCTATATTGTGTAGTAGAATAGGGACAAATATCTTCCGTATTCACTTTCATTGACGGATTGACCTTATTACTCGCGTAATTAGCGTAGCTAACTTTTTCCGTTTAGTTAATCGCCGTCTGATGCCGGTTACATCCGTGGTGTTACGAGACGGTTACTGAGGCAATGAATTTACGTTCCTCATAGCATACAAACGCCAATGACGTAACGCATGATTACGTTATGCTATACATCGGTTAAGGTACAACACTGATTTATCTTATAATGTTACAAATTCATATTGGTTGGATTATGAATTTCATTAGTGTTGGCATATTAGTACTCAGCTGTTATATATAGCTTCTGTAGTGGTCGCGAGTCCGAGACAACCCCAGAACGATACAACTAAGAAAATAGCGCCGTTTGCAACAATCCCCGTGCTCCTATTAGATAACTTGGACAGTAATGTTGGCTCTGCCCTGTTTAAGTCTGACCCATTTCTATGTTTGGATGTTAGAACAGGACTATACTACATTAGTTTTATTGTTTTCTTTGACGAGCGAATGTGGTAGGTACGGACAAAGCGCCATATCATCATTATAATTCTATTAGCTTCAATGTAAATATAATTGAATGATTCCATTCTTTGTCTATACAAACGGAAGTTGAAGGAATAAGGCCTTAAAGGACCGCTGACGTGATAATGGTTTGTTGCTACCTGTAGATGGATTTACATGAATCCATCTAGATACACTAGATAAGACATAAACGATAATTCACCTAATGCTAAACGTCCATAGACAGGAAGCACAGGAAGTTCTCCATAAGGTAGAGTTTGTGCTTGAGCCGGCATCAACATTATACTCGATAGGGACTGGCACATTGCGACATTTCATGTAATCGTTCGTGTGTATATACATATCACTATAAGACAAAAACAATACTCAATAACATCATTCCGAAATCCAAACTTGGCGTTTATGTGATACTTTTTTTTTCAAATTATATTGTCATAGATGCGATAATGTTGCAGAGGTTGACTTGAATGTATGACCACTTCTCGTACAGCGCTATGGAGGAAAAACTAAAGTGAATGTAAGTTCCTTTCTATTCTTTAGACAAAACATATTTTAGCTCGCCCTGTAGAACGACACACCAGCCAATGGCTATTTTCTTATCGTAGTTTAGCTAGTTAACAGCAGTCGTTCCTTTTTCTGCGACTGTGACGAGAAGTCGACTTCCGTTCGCGTCTATATCGATCAATACAATTTTAGAGAAGTTCACCTGACGACGTTTTGTTAAAATGGAATTTCAGTTGAATAAGCGCTTTAAGGACGCACGGTCCATTTGGATGGCAAGTGAAGTCTGCAAACGGAAAGTAAATTGCAATACGTTAATCGGGTGATTACTGGTAATCAGAAAGCGCTTTTAAGCGGTTGATTTGTAAGGATCTTTAAAGAAAAACACAGCTTTAGAAGGGCTCATCAGAATTGTTTTCCATCCTACAGCGCTACTAGAGTTCATGTTTTACCCTTTTTGGTATTTTCATAAAAACTGTTCTAATTACTAAACTCTACGTATTTTATCAGCCTCGAAAAGTGATGCACCGTCCCCTTGTCATGTAAATGCTTATAAAGGACTTCACGAAGTCCACTGCCTTCTTTCCAAGCGACGTTCCCCACCATTTGAAAATGTATTGTGTTGCACTTGTTGTAGTGAGATACGTTTTCTTTTATGAAGTATTTACATCCTCCATTTTGCTTTCAGGTTGTGGCTCGCTATAGGACTGAGCGAGGTTGCTAGGTATGTGCATATAGCTTGACGCCATAGTCAGAGCACAATGCTATCCCGCGAATCATCTCTGCCTTTTTATGTGTCTCGCCAGCTCGTTTTCTTTAGTTATAGTAGCTTCCCGGATGGCATATACTTCGTCGCGAAATGAACAGCGCGAATGTATTCGGCTAGTGTTGTTCAAAGCAGAAAAAAGTACGAGTTAAATTCAAAATCTTCCGCGATCCGACGTCGTTCAGTACCGACTGAACACGTTAGCGGATCTGCACCCGTCGTATTCCTTTTTCTTGCCTATTATCTCTTCTGTTACGGTCTCTCCGAGGCGCTGAGCGAGCTACACAGCTCGTCATGATCAATTCGTTTCCACCGGCATCGCCGCACGAGCTTCTTAGCACGTTTACAGTCCAAGCAGGCCTTCGTCCGCTCAAATCCATCTAGCGTCGAGTCTGCCTAACGACGGCGGCGGGTGCGTTGTCATGCAAACTGCCTCATAGAATCCCGACGGCATTGCCGTAACAACACGGGTGGCGTGTTTTGTCGAGCGTCTTCATCCATGCGTCCGTTCGTTCATTACTAATTCGTCGTTGTCGTCATCTCCTCGTCTGTGCCCGCTCCGCTGTCCGAAAGCTCGTTGGTATGCGATCCGGAGAAACGCGAACAGACTCATGGTGAAGTGAAGAGGCTGTTTTTCTTAGGACGGATTCAAGTGGAAGCCCGTTCAGACCTCCGCGGGGAACATCGAGTACAAAGGACGTTGAAAGAATGATGAGACCACGAAAAGATCAAGGAGAAGCGTCGCTCATTGAAATAAAAGGTTAATGGTGTTGAGGAGAGCTTGATCACTTCTAGAAAAAGGGAAACTGCTTGACTAAAACTGAATCGGATATGATCTGAAGTTTGGCGAGGCTTGACGCGAACGAATATAATGAACACAAGTGATCTGAGTGGAACTATACAATGGTGCGAAATGAATCTAGTAGATTAAGAAATAAAAACTAGCACATTGAGCATTGATATTATGTTTGGATTAAAAAAGCTAATCATAAGAGGATGGGAATACCTGGATACTGTAGACAACATAAAGGCACCTGAGAACAAAGTGGGTTAACTTACTCTCTTGGGAACAAGGCCGGCTTCAGCCATTACCGCTTCAGTACAAAGCAAATGAACAGTTGTGTGTGTCGAACGGCACCAATTAGTGTTGGTCGTTATCATCAGATAACATAGAAGTCCCAAACGCAAAAGCAAGCTTCTCCAAAGCAACTCAATAAGAAGCTGTATTCAAACGCTCTGAAAATAACGAAGACGTTTGTCTTCAACAAGAATGTAAAGCCTCGACTATGAAATTTTATTAAAAGAATTAAATGTTAGTGCGCTGGTTTCATAAAGGAAACTTACTTTATTGCAGCCTTAAACCGTGAAACTGAAAATTATTTGTTTTTATGGAAAACAACGTGTTCTTGTGAATAGAACAATATACGAGAAGTAATGGAAGTTAAACAACTTATTTTTATCTTATAGTTCTTCGCTTGAAGTGAAGATGTTGCAACCCTAATTACTCATCTAATGTAACTTGGCACTTAGATACGCATATGGAAAAAAGCTTAAAAGTAATTTGAAAATAGATAGACTTCATCTACTGTGAACGCGGCCGCCGCTAACATCGATTGCAGACACAACTAGAATATCATATACGCAGTTTTTCTGTCTCAGTTTTATTTACATTTCAATATCTGGATAAAATAGTGAAAACACATTAACCACCCCCCATCCCCGTGCCCCCGAACAAATCATACAAGAAAGCATAATTCATTTAATTATCAGACACCTACCCTATGTTAGCTATTCGTCAATTTGACTGTTTTCAAATGGAAGGTCATAAGTGATTCTTTTATGTTATTCTTGTATGTGATTATAGTACCGCTGTAGAAGTAAAAAGTGAGAGCCTGAGAAAAAAGCGTAAAGGTGAAAAACCCCTTTCACCCCCCAGAGCATGCTGTGGGCATTTACCGTCTCGGAGTGCCATGAATCCGGATTCGTGCTTTGATCGCAACATCAGTGTGGTCTGAAGATGCAGAAACGTCCTCGTGGTGTGACCCGGGTGCGAAGTGGCAAGCAGCACGCCAATGGGCAGAAGGGTCGTAACCTTGACGAAAATCATTCTCCTTGACGAAACGGCCGCCTGCAGACTACTGAGCAACGATAGCATAACACAGGAAGATCGCAAATTACTATTTTGCTATTAGTCTGGTATATGCATCTGGGCATGAACCTGATGCCCGTTTAAAAAATAAAACCGCTCAGTCCTTGGTGCAATATTGGGCTTGTGTGCGGAGTAACAGCTATAGTAATTATTATAGTTTTACTATATGTAGTAGTAAATCTTTGGCAAATCTCAGCACTGAAGTATGTAATCCGTTACCGTCCGTGTCCTTTGGCATAATATTGTTAGCAATTTAGATTATAATTTTGTGACATCTTTAGATCCTAAAAGCGAAATAAAAAAAATTTTACTCTGCTCACATGTTCCAGATATAGTGCAAACAAAATCTGGTTTAACATAGTTCCGTTGTATAATAGTTGTTTAACAGCCTAATTTATATAAACATTTGATTTAGCAATTTGGCAGAATATTACAAATTATAGCGCTATGCTACAAGATTATTTTAACAGTCATGGCCTCTACACCATCGATAACTTCATACACTATGCTACTCTAAATACACTAAAACAAAAACAAACCGCCAGTTCCGCTAGCGACTTTCCGCGTTTCCTAAACCTTACGACGGTTTTTTCACCCCCCACTCAACCCGATTTCCGGACGGCTCTGGTCATCTGTTGGCGTTAATCTTCCGTCCGGTTGCGTTGTCACAGCTAAAGCTAACGGTCGTCCCCTTGCTCTATTGAAGGTCGTCGGTGACCGACCAAAACTGTTCCTTCGTTTGAGGCAAATGAAAAGGTACTGTGTTCCCAGTTTGCTGCCGACCGAAACTTCAAAAGAACATCGACGCAAGTAATTCCGCTGTAGGCCGCTCGAATGCACGAATAAATTCGCGCTTAAAAGGCAGTACGGCCAGCTTGAAAGCTGCTTTTTGAGGGAAGCCCACGATGGCCGATCACGCAAATGAAAAAAATCAATTCTATGTCCCGGATATTACTGTTAGATAGTTTCAAAATCGCTGTACGAAAGACACAGAGAAATCATGAAGAAGTAAAGGTCTGCCTTCACTGTGAACTTACGAAAGCTTTTGAAGCAGGCAAGATGCGCTTGGAAGCCAATTTAACGTGACTGGATGGCAAAAGCAAAGTTCACAGAGTTATTAATCATTTACATATGACTAATCATTATTTGAAGAAGGAAACAGTGCAACGACGTTTTGTCTTCAAAGATAAAGTTATGATTATGATCATGAAGGTTATGATTGTTGTTATTATTACCCACGTTAGTTATATAGATGATAACTCTCGCTTGTCGAATGATCAGTTGAGTTTAATTAAGGTTAGAAGGACCGAGAACTTGTCCAAACGGATTTTACTATGCTACATATTCACGGAGCTTCGTCTCCCACGTCTGTTAAGGTCGATCACTAAATCAATCGTAACGATACACAGAAACAGCTTTATATTAACGGGTAGATCGGGATCAGCGCAACGACGAATGAATTGGGAAAATGCGTGGTCACGAAGATGCACGATACGACCGTGATTCAGCTGATCAAACGCGCCAAGAAAAAACAAAACCATCATCTTCAATGGCGATTCGCTCATTTCCTCGTACACCCCCTGTTCCAACATCGCCAAGGTGGCCAAATTGCGGCTTGAAAAGAACGCGTTAGTCGTTAACGTAAATAGATGGTAACGGCTTACCGCTCAGCAGCATCGCTGTTATAAACCAATTCAGAATTTCTGTGAAACGTGCATTTTGATTTTCAAATCACTAGTTCCAATTATACAGGATTACTAGCATGTTAAATACGCGTATTTACATGTATAGCGTCAGCTATAGGTATGTGTTTTTTTTCCCTGTTGGGGGTAATAATACGGTACGAGCAAAAGAAGGATCAACAGGTACGTGGGTAGAGAAAAGGTACATACAATATACGCAGCCGTGTAACAACACACTCAGCGAACTTTTCCACCTTTTTTATATGGAACGATCATATAACCAACATTTTCGAATTATCGTATCAAATCGTTAGAGCAGAACTCTTTCGAACGAAGCAACATTGCTATCTAGACTATAGACGCTCAGACACAACAACAAACACTTCAACAATCTGTCGATCGATACTGCCAACGAATTGTTACATGCTGATCGTTGCCAAACTACAGCATACGATTTATCAGTATTACCATATAACCAATTGATCGTACGTAGGATAGATATCATTTAAATAATTTCTTATATATATATATATAAGCCACGCATATATATATAATTCCCACATTATACATCTAGTCAGAATTATATATTTGATTCACCACTAAAAAGATCATATGGTAAAACTTTGCCACGTCGTCGTCGCTGGTTTCTCCATGTTTAATCAGCATCACTAGCTAGTGTCGCCACCAGCGCCACTTTATCACTGTTTTGTTTACTTATAGATACAAATAAATGATACGCGTATTTATATTGCTTTACCGAGACGGAGCGGCATGTGCAGCCAACGTACTGGATGAACTCCTCGGGCCGTCGTGTATTCGAGACCCTTCACGAACCTAAACACGATAGGCGGAACAATACCAAACGAGATTGATATCTCTTTTATGTAATCATACGAAGAATAATGGTACGCAATAAGGTGAAAATATAGCCTACGAAGACATCAATAACCGTAATAATGATACCAGCAATGGCAATAATGTTCCCGTCGGTAGTAATGTAGCCAACTGTACCGTGCAGTAGAGGCTCGTGTCTTGACATATCCACATATCGTATGGAGATAAATAGACGAGGATAATGCGGAATCGCAGCTACCTTTCCCTCACAAATGGACAGCCAGAGATATACAGTATAGTGTAGAACCTGTGATACAGCACAATGTGAAACCATCGCAGCCGCTATGCCGCCGGCCAGTGTGCATCTGTGTCAGGAAACGACAACCAGAAAGCGAGAAATAAAGCATATTAATTAAGTGTATAAGGTCTATTCAACCAGTGAGTAGCAGCATTTGATGACAGCAAGCACGGCCAAAATAAGGCCGCTCCTATATAGTCGACAACGGCAGCGGTAGCATCGTATAATCGGCTGCCAACCATGCTGGCTTTGGCTGCTCGTGATGTAATGAACCGTTGAGTTTCTATTCAATGCCCCTGTATCATTTTCTACGCCCCGCCTCTCTTTCCTCCCCGAATCCACCAGCCTCCCGCCTCAACCCCACATGTGCGCTGGCGTACACATCCTTCAGATTTTGTCGCTATCTCGAAACGAGCAAGCAGTCTATTTTCGCTACGATATCGATTCGTGTTCTGTTTTTCGCTGTAGCGCACAACTGTCTACTGTACACTTCTGATTATACTGTCGCTGCGACCATTGTTGCTCCGACATCGCTATTATGCAGATGCATAAAACGCTTCCTCATACGGGCATCGCTCAGAATCTCCAGGATAGAATCCTGCTGGCGCTAGCGGCAAACGGTGGCGTATGAGTCAAACGGCCGCTGGGTGAAAGCTGGCAAAGTTCGGTGACGGGATACGATTGCAGCGCCACTAATTTATGATCTCTTCGATGCTGATGATAACAGCTACGACGACGGCGACGACGACGACCACGACGACGACGACGACGACCACGACGACGACGACGACGACGACCACGATGACGACGACGACGACGAGATTGAATGCAAAAAACGCCGACGAAGGGAGCGAGGAGGCAGGAGCAAATGTGGTCAATTTGTCGTTTTAGAAATACAACGAGAAGCAGGCGGTAAATTAGTGACAGAATACTGATCCACTATAGATGGATGTATTTGGCTACCGGAGACATGATCATAGTATGGCAACGATGCTGATGAAAAACAAATGGTCAAATTGCACACGTACCCATTTATAGACATCCACTTGGATGGACTGAATTAATAAAATACATATGTACACGGTACACAGTGGCTGCGACGTCAAACGACGCTTTTTCGCTTACGTTCACCCTGCATAGAGCAGTGTTTTCTATATTTAAAAATAGAACCGGTTTTCGTTTCGTCCTCCTCTGCAGTAGGTTGAAGCTCGGCTAGTAAAACCCTACTTTACTATATATGTGTGACAGATTAAGAGGTATGACCGATAGGTTTGCTACTATCATAGACATCAATCTTTCCGCCGTTTCTTTACCACGATCTTCGTACTGGCAGATTCTTTGGGATCATTCTGGTCGACAACAAGTTATAGGGCGTCTGTAAATTCAATGTGTCATCATACCTGCGATTATAGACAGTACAACGGCGGGATAGGGCCTATCACTGTGGTCTCGTGGGGCCGACCTCCGTGCGTAGTGGTCGCCTTTAATATTACATTGTAATTCAATTTAAACTGTTTGCCGGTTAATTGCAGCATACAGAATTGACAACCAATACAAGTTTTTCACTTTTAAAAAATGTTTACAATAAAAAATGGCTAAAAACAAAGTTTTAGAATAAGATTCAACTGTGATACTAGGTGCTGATGACAGTCGGACTTGGCAACTGTGTTCATAGAGGCATTCTCTTATTTGTCTTTTAACAATAATGTGTTGGCGACGGCATAAAACGACTGTAAAAACTAGAATCTAATCTGCGTTGGTCTTGTACAACAAATTGACAGCTCACGATTGAAGATGCAAGTTTAGATCTCTGACCCCGCAATTTTTGATTTTATATCAACTGCATAAACTTAACTCATAAACCAACAAAAAGGTGTATATATATGTATGGAACTGCGTTGGCAAACTTCACTGACATAGTTCCCATCACATGTAACAGTTGCTGCGAATCTGTCCACTTGTATGTATGACTCTGCAATTTCTGTCTCAATTATAGCAAGTTACCATACACCGTTTATCCCCTTCAGTTGCGCTTTGATGTTCGCTGCCAGAATAAATGTAAACAATCTGTTTCAAAAACTTTCTGTTCCACCCCACTTTTTATCCCCAGAAGCAGCCATCTCAATTCTACTGTTTCATGCATATTTGTTCAACGCGTTCACTATGAAAACGGCG